TCATTGTGGTGGTTTCTCATTGCAGAGCATGGGCACTAGGGTGCACAGGCCTCGGTAGTTGTTGCTAATGGGCTCTAGAGCACAGGCTTAGTAGGGCTGAGTGGTTGTGGTACACGGGCTTAGTTGCCCTGTGGCATGTGGAATTCCTGGATCAGGGATCGAACCTGTGTTCCCTACATTGACAGGTGGATTCTTAACCCCTGGACCACCAGGGAAGTCCCACTTTGTCGTTTTTGTTTTTGTTTTTTTAATCATTGAGTTGTAAGAGTTCTGTATATGTTCTAGATTTGTTTCTTATTATCTATATTATTTGCAAGTGTTTTTTTCCCATTCTTTGGGTTGTCTTTATACTCCCTTAATGGTGTTAAGTTTTCAGTTTTGATGAAGTCCAGTATATTTGTTTTTTCTTCTGTTGCCTATGTCTGTTGGTGTCATGCATGCCAAAGAAGCTTTTGCTGAATCTGTGCCAAATCCAAAGGCGTGTTTTATTTTAAGAGTTTTATAGCTTTAGCTCTTAGTTTTAGGTCTTTGATCCATTTTGACTTAATCTTTGTATGAGGAGTGAGGTAAGAATGTAACTTCATTCTTTTTTATGTGGCAGTGCTGATGAAAACCTGGGGTATTTAAGATTTTTAAAAGTAGATCAGATTTACTTAAAATGTGTAGCAGTTCCAGGTAAGACTGGTCTGACGTGTGTACATGAAAGTGGATGACTGAAGTGGAGATGAAAAGTATGAGCTTATTTCCATAGTTTTCAGATCAGTGCCAGGGTAGACCCAGGCAAAAGACAGAGGTGGAGGTTTTCCCGTTGATCTTATAGAGCGTCCCTGTGAAACCTTTCTTAAATTGAAATGACTTAAAGAAGCAATTACCTTAGTACGCTTCTTGCCAAGTGATGCGCAAAATAAATGGAGGTAAAGCACCGATGCTCACAGATACAGTTCAAAGCTGTGGCAGCTGGATGCTAAGAGGCTGAGTGTAGTTCCCAGGGCAGGAGCTTGGTGGTTTCACTCCTTCGGCTTAGGGTATAGAGCTGCTTGTATGACAGCTCACTGCAAAGCAAACACTGAGTGCAGTTTTTACTTTTGCCTTTTTTAAAAAAAATCTTTTTCAAATTTCTTTCAGTTTGTGAAAACAAATACTACTATAGGCCTTTTATCAAAGGAAAAAAAGCAAAATGGTGTAATATGAACTTTTGAGAAGCAAGATATAGCTAGATGATAGAAGCCTCAGAGAAGTAGGAATTTAAAATGAGGTGGACTTGGGATTAGCAGATGGAAACTGGTATATGTAGAATGAATAAGCAACAAAGTCCTACTGTACAGCATAAGGAACTATATTCAATATCCTGTGATAAACTATAATGGAAAAGAATATGAAAAAGAATGTATAGGGACTGCTTTGATCCAGTAGTTAAGACTTTGTGCCTATAATGCAGGGGGTGCAGTTTCGATCCCTGTTTGGGGAACTAAGATCACACATGCCATGTGGCGAGGCCAAAAAAAAGTGTGTGTGTGTGTGTATACACACACATACATACAAACAACCCCCCCCACACATATATATAAAACTATATATAGTTATATTCCATGTATATACCATATATGTATATATAACTATTCCACTTTGCAATACAGCAATTAACATTATTATAATTCAACTATACTTCAATAAAAGATAAAAGGTGACAGAGATCTGGAAGAGACATTGGGAATGAGAAAGATAGACTCCCCTTTTACTCTGAAATATGTGGGGAATGGGAAAATGAGCTAAAACATCTGCATGAGAATTCTGCCAGGGAAGCAGTTGCTTAAGTGGAGGGCTAGGCTTTAGAGTTGGGAGGGTGTTCACTGAATGGGAAAGTCAGCAGTAGGGAAAATGGTTTTGATGTCAGCCCGTAGGCAAAGATGGTAAAGAATCTGCCTGCAGTTTAATCCCTCAATCGGGAAGATCCCCTGGAGAAGGGCATGGCAGCCCACTCCAGTATTCTTGCCTAGAGAATTCCATGGACAGAGGAGCCTGGCAGTCCATTGGGTCGCAAAGAGTTGCAAATGACTGAGTCACTAACACTTCCACTTTTGTAGCCAAAGAAGCTTGACCCTAGGGTAACACCTTGGCTTCAGTTACACCAGATTTCGGTGCTAATTTGGAGTCTTCTCAGCACTATACTATTTGTATTTTCTGTCCTGCCTGGAAACAAAATTAGTTTCTCCTTTGGAATAAAAGAGTTGCCTCATTTGACATTCCACCACAGACTAAGAAGGGATAGAGCATGAAACAAAGTTCTCTCATTAATCATGCTGATACTGTTTTAAGATGTTTGATTTCAGTCAGTGTGTGTTTGTTGGGGGGGTGTGGGGCGGGGCGGGGGGGCAGGTTTGGAGTTGAAGCGGGGAGAAGTAGTGAATTAAGGTCACATACACACCAAGCAAGATTCTTGCAGATTCTTGCAACACAACATGCAGGGAATCTAGGACCAAGGAAAGAACTGAATGATTACCACCCACCCATTCCCAACTAAAGAGGAGAGAAAATTTCTTGTGATTGAGGGAAAATGGGAAGAATCTAGGGTACCTGGTTGTTAAAAAGCTGTAAATAAAGGCTTGGTTCTCATAGTGTGGGTGTGGTCTGTGAGCTTCATAACAGTATCATCTTTCTGGGAATCCTAACTCAAGACACTCAGAGGCTGAAATACTTAGGCTGGACAGGGAATAAAGGGGAAGGGTAATTAATTGGCTTATCTGGGCCAGTCTGGCAGTCTAGGTTCTGTTTGAAAAAAGGTCAGAAACTTAAGAGCTTGAGAGCTGCTTATTTCATCAGGAATCTCAGTATCTTTGATCAGATTCCTAGGCCATCCTGGGCCTGGAGTTAGTCAGTTACAGATAGAGTGTCAGGTCCAGTAGAAGAATAAGAGAACAGTGTACCGTATCTGCCAGGGGGCAGAGGTGTTTTGGCACCCTGACTTGTTAGCCCAGCAGTGGGGACTAGACCACCTTCCTTTGAACCCATTTCTTTGCATCTTTCTAGGTCTCTAGACCTACATCCCTTAGCCTTTACCTCTACCTCCCTAGGTCCAAATCTTGGAAGGACCAGAATATGAGAGAGTAACTTTTAGTCTGAAGCCAGCCCCCTTAGCATGAATCTTAGCTGCTTTTTCCCCTAGCTGAAACAAGCCACACCTCTCTTGCTTAACCCTTTCTAGTTGCCCCTGTTTAAAGGATGGCCTCAGGACCCTTCTTTGTATGGATAGATTTTCTAGGTCACAAGCAGGATTATTCAGTTTTTTAAAAAATTAAAGTGTAATTGATTGGATTATTCAATCTTGCTGTGCCAAGAGAAGGAAAGGGAAGAGAGCACTTGGACGTTAATTTTTTTTTTTCTCCATTTCTAAGATGCAGTGGTTATACAAGTTCTAAAGTTTTACAAGTCAAAATTTTATAATTATATCATTCTAGACAGAGTTATTGGCTAAGGAGCTCTCATGTTGCAGAAAATTTAGTATTCATGTCGTAGACATGAAAAATGTAAGCCACTATTTCCCAACTTGAGAGTAATAGTGCCTTGGGAAAGTATGGAGTTATGATAAGAGATTGCAAATTCACTAACTCTGTTTTCATTATCTGTAGACCAGATCAACATCTCCTGTCTTTATGTACTACTATTTTTAATACATATAAATTAATAAAAATTATTAATGTATTTTAAAGTATTATTGAACATATAGCAGTTGTTCATCATTATGTGTTTTTTCAGTCCATGCGTACTATACTGTGCTGTTTCTCATGGGATTCCATAAAAATTTTAGGTCCTAAAAGGGGATTCACATAATCTAAAAGGTTGGGATTCTCTGCTGTAAGACATTTTGAGGTGAGAGAATTAACAGCTTGAGTTAGAGTGTAGTTATTAGGCACTGCATGTTTAAGAGACAGTTCATTGAGAGAGAGAAATTATCAAAAAGAAAGTTCCTTTGTATGCTTTAGACACTAAAAGCCTCTGATCCATGGGCCCTGGGCTTCTTCCCCAGAGGCTGCAGCTATTTGTTTTGTTGGGTTTTTTTCCTTTCAGTTTTATTGAGGTAAAATTGTACTGTATAAGTTTAAGGTGTAACAACAGCATAATCGTTTGACTTACATCGTGAAATGATTATCACAATAAGCTTAGTGAAAGAGGCTGCTGCTCCTGACAGTTCCATGCATATTTTACTGGAAAACTTAACAGAGATCTATATAAGCTTGTTTATGTGTGCATATATATATTGTTTAGTCGCTAAGTTGTTTCCAGCTCTTTTGTGACCACATGGAGTGTAGCCCACCTCCATCCATGGGATTTCCAGGCAAGAATACTGGAGTGGGTTGCCATTTCCTTCTCTAGGGAATCTTCCTGTCCCAGGGATTAAACCCCACGTTTCTTGCATTGGCAGATTCTTTATCACTGAGCCACCTGGGAAGCCGTGTATGTATATACACACATATACATGTATGTATGTGTGTTTTGGCTGAGCATGGCGCTTGTGGCTGGATCTTCGTTCCTTTACCAGGAGTTGAACCTGGGCCCTTGGCAGTGAAGGTGTAGAGTTCTAAGCACTGGACTGCTAGGGAATTCCCTGTATAGGTTTTTTTAATGTGCTTTTACTTTTTTTTTTAACAATGCTTCTATTCAATAGAAATTTTAATAAAAATATTGAAGTGTTTGCTTTTAACTCTTGCATTATAGTAAAATTTGTTAGAAAATGTTTTCCTAAAGAATGGGAAATTTTTAAATGCACTATTTAGATCTTATTTCCATAGCTAACAGGGAAACTTAAAAGGCAAATTATTTATTTATTTGCACCAAGTCTTAGTTGCAGCATGTGGGATCTTTAGTTGGGCATGCAAACTCTTTAGTTGCCAATATGTGGGATCTAGTTCCCTGACACAGGGGTTGAACCTGGGATTCCTGCATTGGGAGCATAGAGTCTTATCCACGGGACCACCAAGGAAGTACCAGGAAACTTTTTTCAGGGTGATGATGGCGAGTACAGTGAAGAGGAAAACTCCAAAGTGGAGCTGAAATCAGAAGCCAATGATGCTGCTAATTCTTCAGCAAAAGATGAGAAGGGAGAGGAGAAACCTGACACCAAAGGTGCTGTGACTGGAGAGAGGCAGAGCGGGGATGGACAGGTTAGTGCCCACAAGGCCTCCATTTCCACTCGAGTTCTGGAACAGGGGCTCTTCAGCTTGGAGTGAGTAAAGAGCTGTTTATCTGTCCGACAGGAAAGCACAGAGCCTGTGGAGAACAAAGTCGGTAAAAAGGGCCCTAAGCATTTGGATGATGATGAAGATCGGAAGAACCCAGCATACATACCCCGGAAAGGGCTCTTTTTTGAGCATGATCTTCGAGGGCAGACTCAGGAGGAAGAAGTCAGGTAACAGCCCCTTGCTACTGCTCTGTAGTATGTTAGTATTATATGTATTCCATGCTTACTATATGCCAAGCACTTTACTAAGTGTTTTACCTGTATTACCTTATTTACTGTTCACAACATTTTAAGGTAAGTATTATGATTATCCCCTTTGTACAAATGAGGAAAGTAAGACTTAGAATATTTAGTAACTCTTGGTGGAGGAGCTGGGATCCAGACCTGTATGTCCACTGCCTTCCTTAATCTGAGGCTCAAAGCCTCTAAATACTTGCATAGGTGGCTTTACAGGAGAGAGATGTTTCCAGAGTGCTGAGTAGTTTGAAGTGAAGGCTTTCCTTATTTTTATTCCTGTTACGTTCACGCCCAGCAGGCCCTGAGGTGCTGTGATTCACCCTTGCTTTTGGAAGGCCTGTTTTGTATAGCCTGTCTGGGAAGATGGAGAGATTACCTGAGTTCCTAATGTTTCTCTGCCCAGCCCTGTTTGTTTCATGAACATCTTTACTTGGCAGAGTCTGCCAACTTAACATACGTTTCCCTGGTTCTAACCAGACCCAAGGGACGTCAGCGAAAGCTGTGGAAGGATGAGGGTCGCTGGGAGCATGACAAGTTTCGGGAAGATGAACAGGCTCCAAAGTCCCGACAGGAGCTCATTGCTCTTTATGGCTATGACATCCGCTCAGCTCACAATCCTGATGATATCAAACCCCGAAGAATCCGGAAACCTAGGTGAGGACATTTTGGAGCCTATATTATTGATATTTGCAAGAAAAAACAAAAAACTCTGCTTTTTAAAATGCCATTCTGGCCTGTAATTGAATGGGTGAGGAATATGGAAAGTCTGCCTGACCCACAGTTTATATCTCTAGTGGCCCCTTTTGTTATTTCTCTGTTTGCTTTGTTCAGGTTTGGGAGTCCTCCGCAAAGAGATCCAAAGTGGATTGGTGAGCGGCCAAGTAAGTCTCATCGCCACCAGGGTCTTGGGGGCACCCTACCGCCCAGGACATTTATCAACAGGAATGCTGCAGGTACTGGCCGCATGTCAGCTCCCAGGAATTACTCTCGATCTGGAGGCTTCAAGGAGGGTCGTACTGGTTTTCGGCCCGTGGAAGCTGGTGGACAGCATGCTGGCCGATCTGGTGAGACTGTTAAACATGAGACTAGTTACCGGTCTCGGCACTTGGAGCAGACTCCTGTAAGGGATCCATCTCCAGAAGCAGATGTTCAAGTGCTTGGCAGTCCTGAGAAGGAAGAGGTAGCCCCCGAGATACCAAATCCTGCTCCTGATACTGCACCACCAGCTCCTGACAGGCCTGTTGAAAAGAAATCCTATTCCCGGGCAAGAAGAACCAGAATCAAAGCTGGAGATGCAGGCAAGGTTGCAGAGGAGGCACCCCCTCCACCCGAAGGGCTGACCCCAGCACCTCCAATCCCAGAAGCTACATCTCCTACGCCTGCTAAGACTGGAAACTGGGAGGCTCCAGTGGATTCTACTACAGGGGGTCTTGAACAAGATGTGGCACAACTAAATATAACAGAACAGAATTGGAGTCCAGGGCAGCCTTCCTTCCTGCAATCACGGGAGCTTCGGGGTAGGTACCTAGGGTTAATAAGACTAGCTTTTATCCCTTTGCATCATTGGACTTAGGGGCATGGAACTAATGTCTCTTAGAGATCTGGTATCTGACAATGTCTTCATTTTCATTAATTGTAAGAAACAAATGGATCCATAGGCATATTCATCCAAAGAGCTCAGAGCAGCTTTATCTGTTACATAAGACTAGCCCACTACTTTGCTTACTGTTTACTATTAACTGATCAGTCACCACCATTGAGCTCCTGAGTGCAAAATCCTTTATCACTCTCTAGAAAAAGTGGAAGAAGGCAGTGTTCTTTATTATTTGAGCTAATGGTTAAATGTTTTAAGGCAGAAATTGCCTTTGAATTTGGATGAGCATCTCCTAATCTCTTTGAAAAGAAAGCCTCTCTAGTTTCCTTAGTCTTCTAGAGCCAGGCTGCCTAGTAGAACTTTCTGTAATGATGGTACTTTTAAACACTTGTAATATGGCCAGAGTGACTGAAAAACTGAACTTTTCATTTTTAATTATTTGAAATTTAAGTAACCATACGTGGCTAGTGGATATCATGTTGGTACAGCATAGTTCTCATGACTAGGAACTACCTACCACCCCTCTGACCCATCCTTTTTTTTTCTTCCTCCAGTCAGATAGATCAGAGGATCTTTTCCATTGTTTCTGAAATCTAATTCAAACTTAGATTGGAAAGCATCACTTGGACTGGCAGTTTTAGCATCCTTCTCTGGTGTGCGTAATTCTGGAATACCAAAAACTAGGGTAGCCTAAACTGGACCTGGAGTTGATCTTTGGATGGAGAAGTACACTCTCTCCTGCCAATGCCTTATTACTATTGGAAGACAGTCTCTAGAACATTCCTTTTTTGTCCTGAGTCATCTTCAATCAGAGGAGAATCTCTTCCTATACTTTTAGCCTAGACCTCTGCGGCCAGAAATAATCAGAGGTAGATTTAGAACATCCTTCTCTGCCTAGTTGTTGCTCAGAAACATTAGGGTTGAGATTTTCCAATATGTTTGATAATGTAATATGCTGATTATAACCTCCCAGGGATTCTGTATGGTAAATATTTGATGGGAAAATTTTGAACTTGCATTTTCTGAGTTGCATTACTGAAGTAATTTTTTTTCATCTTCAAAGGCTTTACTGCTATATTAAGGTGGCAGGCAGTGGGGGCAAATTTCCAAATGCTGGTGTTGACAGGAAGCAGAGATAGTTTAAAACGAATTTTGTTAGTTTAAAAGATGAGAGCCATTCCCCATGTTGGATTCTTCACCCTGTCATTTTCTTCATGTATCTTTAGTTCTGTTCACATCTGTCTGCTCTGTAGCAGTGACTTTTTTGGTGTTTTACAGGTATGCCCAACCACATGCACATAGGAGCAGGACCTCCACCTCAGTTCAACCGGATGGAAGAAATGGTACAGAGGAGGAAAGGGGCGCATGTAGAGGGTTGCATGTCACAGTTTGGTCACTGTTTAAGCCAAGTCAGTTTTCCCATGTTTCCCTTTAATTCGGGTCTCTGGAAATGTACAGTTTAGGTTTGGGTTTAGAGCTTAATGCTTTTCATCAGTTTTTCAATTCATTTTGTAAAATTTTTTTTTGGCATGTACATACGGCTGTATTTATTTGGTTGCGCTGGGTCTTCATTGGTACAACGGGTTTTCTCTAGTGGAGAGTGGGGGCTACTCTCTACTTGCAGTGCACAGTCTTCTCATTGTGGTGGCATCTCTTGTTTCGGAGCACAGGCTCTAGGCACATGGGCTTCAGTAATTGTAGGATATAGGCTCAGTTGTTGCGACTTCCTGGCTCTGTGGCACACAGGCTTCAGTAATTGTAGTTCCCGGGCTCTAGAGTGTGAGGACTTCAATTGGTATCACATGGGCTTAGTTGCTCCAAGGCATTCCCAGACTAGGGATCAAACCCATGTCCCCTGCATTAGCAAGCGGATTCTTTTTTTTTTCTTTTTTTTTTTAGCAAGCGGATTCTTATCAACTATGCCACCAGAGAAGTCTTGCAAATAACTTCTTTAACACTGCCGTGTACCCAGTAAATGTTTTGCAGTATCTATAAGATGTTAGGTCTCAATAGGAGAGTCAGCCTTTTGGAGGTCTTCTTGCTCAAACCTCTTTCTTTCTTTCAGGGTGTCCAGGGTGGGCGAGCCAAACGCTATTCATCACAACGGCAAAGACCTGTGCCGGAGCCCCCTGCCCCTCCTGTGCATATCAGTATCATGGAGGGACATTACTATGATCCACGTGAGTTTATTTTTATAGCTGGGATATCTTTCTTGGTAGGATGAAGTGAACTAAAAGACCAGCCTTCTGAACTTCCCTTGTGACCTCTCATGGTGGTTAACAAACTTTCTCTGGTTGCTGTTTTCTTCATATGGAAAATTGAGAACATCTTCTCAGGGGTTTGGGGAACAAGGAAACTTGTCCGTTTGATGGGAAGAGTGAGGATTTATGAGAGTCCCAATGTGATATCTTACAGTGCAGTTCCAGGGACCAATCTATACCCATGGTGACAGCCCTGCCCCACTGCCTCCTCAGGGCATGATTGTACAGCCAGAAATGCACCTTCCCCATCCAGGTAAGCTGTGAACCTCTGCTTGTATGCTTCCAGTACGTAAGGATGTGTGTTGGGGGCATCACAAACCCCAACCTTCTCAGCTCTATGCTGCTTGCTTATGAGGCTGGCCACTTTGACTACATGGGCAACAAACTCCTCTTGGGTCCATCCTGAGGACTTGAAATCTAAGCCTGTTTGTGGTGAGCAGTCCAGCCAGGCCATCCCATGGAAAAGGTATTACCTTTTGTTTCAATTGTTGTTTCTTCTCCTTGTCCAGGTTTACATCCCCACCAGACACCAGCGCCTCTGCCCAATCCAGGCCTCTATCCCCCACCAGTATCCATGTCTCCAGGGCAGCCCCCACCTCAGCAGTTGCTTGCTCCTACTTACTTTTCTGCTCCAGGCGTCATGAACTTTGGTAATCCCAGTTACCCTTATGCTCCAGGGGCATTGCCTCCCCCACCACCTCCTCATCTGTATCCTAACACACAGGTGAGATGGCTAATGAGATTTTCCTAAGTATACATCCTTTAAATCAGACAGGAATATAGGATGAGGAGAATACTCAAGGAATTCTAGAGAGCATTTCAGTGCCACTAATTTGCATGTGGTGGTAGGAGCTGGAGATGCTACTTAGGTGATACCTATCATGTGTGTATTCTCTTCCATTTTTTTAATGGTGTTTCATTGATTGAAGTGTTTTAGTATGTCTTAGGTGGGCATGTCTGCAATTTATCTAACTGCATAATGAAGCCATAGTCTACCTACCAGCCCTCCCCTCCCCTGTACTGTTTAACTCCCAACAGGTTAACACCATCTGGTATCTGGAGTGTTAACCACTGAGCTCAGTGCCTTGCGTTTGTCAGCTGATGGTAGGAATTAGAGAAAGCTGGGCAGTACTTTGAAGAAGTAGGAACTATATTAAGACATACTAAGGCAGAAAAGAATAATTATTTTAAAGGGGGGCAGCTTAGAAATTCCCCTGTACACTTACAGATTCCCCTTATAAATTATAAAAAATACCCCTATACTCTTTTATTTTTGTGCCTGAATAATATTTCCTGTTTACCATAGTTTGGATGAATTAATTCCTTTTTCTTTTCCTTGCTTATTGGGCTCCCAGGCCCCATCGCAGGTATATGGAGGAGTGACCTACTATAACCCCGCCCAGCAGCAGGTGCAGCCAAAGCCCTCCCCACCCCGGAGGACTCCCCAGCCAGTCACCATCAAGCCCCCACCGCCTGAGGTAATGAGAGCGCCTAGGAAAGGAGCTCTAAATAAAGGATGTTAGGGCACATCTGACATCAGTGGGCTTTCCTTTTCTTCAGATTTTCCTCCTTTTCTTGTTGTATTTCTATGGAAAATGATCTTTTTTTCTTTTTCCTTTTTTTAAAAATAATGACCTGATAACAAATTCCAACTTTATGATTTCAGGTTGTAAGCAGGGGTTCCAGCTAATACGAACTTCTGAATATTTTAAATCTAATGTCAAATAAAAGTAAGTGTAAAACTTACTGTGACTCAGAATGTTCTTAAAACTAATGTTCATGCTTACTTGCTCAACAATCACCTAATTAATGCTCCAAGTTTTAATCATGGGATATCTCAGGGGGAGGCTTAGAGGAGTCCCAGAGTTTGCCAGTGTCTTTGTTTTATGAGCATTGAGTAGGGTTGAGTGGAAACCATTGTTAGTATGGCAGCAGTTTGAGAAGATGGAAGGAGAAACTGGAAGAGGGCATTCTTAATGAAAGGAAAGGGGAGAGCTGCATTTGAGGTGTTAGAGCAGAGCCAGTTCTAAAGATTGTGGAGGAGGGACTTCCCTGGTGGTCCAGTGGTTAAGACTGAGCTGCCAATGCAGAGGGTATGGGTCCGGTCCCTGGTCAGGAAACCAAGATCCTATATGCCATGCAGCATGGCCAAAAGAATTTAAAAAATAGTAATAATAAATTTTTAAAACCACTCTTTAAAAAACAAAGGCTGTGGAGGACAGAAACCAGGAGGTTTTGTTGTATTGTTTTAGGGATATTTCTTTAGTGTACATTATTTAGAAATGTGGCTTTTTGAAAATAGCTTGTAAATGCCTAAAAGGTCCAGTAACATTTTGATGGTTCTTCCCTTTTTCTCACTCCTGTCAGGACAGCAGAAGTGAAAACCTAGGAGAGAAGAGAAAACAACTGGCTGTCTGCTACCTTTGAAGATCCAAGGTGGCTCCTACCAGCAAGCAGCTAAATGAAGAGGACCCCTGCCTTTCTCTGAGGATAGGCTCTGTTGGATAAAGGGAGAAACAAGTGGACTTCCTCCCATTTTCAGTTTGTGTTTGTGTCAGCTGTGCTCAGAGGAGCAGAGATCCAGACAGCCCAGGCTTCTGAGTCTAGGAGCCCACGTCTTTTGCTCTTCTTTGCTTTCTCCTGGGAAATTCGTGTCTTCTCCTCCCAGGGAAGCTTGGAAGCTCCTTCCTGTTTGTTTTGTTTTCTACGATGTTCATTTTTAAAGCCTGGCTTGTTATTCTTTAAATTAATATTCTTTTAGTCCATCACCCCACCCCCATCTCCTGCCCCCCCGCCCCCACTCTCTCTGCCTTTAAATTAAACAAGTTCATTCTTTGGTTTGCTAGCTCCTCTGGGTTCCTTTTGGCTTTTCCCTACATCCCAGATAATTGAGAACTTAGCAGCCAGTCTGCCCCCACCAAGTCTACAGAGAGTTGACCTTTCATTTTTTTCTTGGCCTTTTTTATTGTGTACTTGGAGTTTGTTAAGTCTTCTAATACTGTGGAAGCATTGCTGTCTGCACAGAATGTCCCATTGTGGAGAAAATCTCAGTGTGGTAGGAGCCCCTTTTCTTGACTTGGGTTTTTAGAATTTTGAGCCTCCATCAGTCTCTGTACTCTGATAATCTTTAGTTCTCTACTGAAGGCAGAGTGTCCACAGTGGGGAGAGATGGCAGACCAGATGCTTTAGTGAGAAAGGGAGGGTAGAGTGAGCGCCTTTGTGCCGTAGGGGTGTGTGTGCACACAGTCCTCAGGGCTCAGTCTTTGAGGTGAGTGGAATTAGAGGGCTCTGCTCTTTTTCCATCCTTTCTACCACACCCTTTTCCAATTGCTATGGACCAATGCATCTCTAGAGGTAAATATTACCTAGCCAGCGATCGTCCCTGTCCATTGCAGTTGCCCTTCTCCTCGTCTTTCCTGCTATAAGTGTTTGAGGTATTGCTACCTTATTTTTCCAAGGAAAGTTTTACTCCTGTCCTTGCAAACAGAATACCACACCTGGGCCTAAAAGCAGTCACTTTTCAGGACAAGGGCTCCTCCCTCCTTTCCTCCCTATCTGTGGCACTGAACCACTCCCCTGCTGCCTCTGCAGAAGAGATTCCTGTTACTATGGCACTTGCATCTGCCAGGGGTCACTTGCCCACTGTCCCTGTCCTACAGAACCTGAGGGAGAAGGTGGCAGCTGTGTCTCTCCCCAAGTAATGTCACTAATTCTGTCCCTTCTCTTCAGCAGTTGGCTTAACCACTTTGAGTCACAGGTGTGGGGTGGGAGGGGAGAGAGGCACTCAAGCTGAATCCCCCAAGGAGGAAATAACTAAGAGATTCTTCCAAGGGTAGTGCATGGTTGTGCCTTTTGTAGGCTGTTCCCTTTGCCTTAAACCTGAAGATGTCTCCTCAAGCCAGTGGGCCGCATGCCCAAATTCCCAGACCTTAAGACACTGTGACAGTTGTCTCTGTTCGTCCACTGTTTTGTTGCAAGAATTTCTCCATGTGTATTGTTGTTTGTAACTGTTTTAAAGAGCGCACATATGTGATTGGCATTGTGACTTGAAGATAATAAAATTTAGACATGTAAACCTAGCTCCTTTGCCAGTGTTTCGCCTGAGTCTTGATTTGGGAGGGAGGGAAGAGGACTCCCTGACTCTATAGAGTCACAGTCACAACTCTGGCCAGCTCAGACTTGAGAAATGGAAGCCCAAAGAGGTGAGAAGCCCCAGTGGGGCCACACGTGACTCCCCATCAATTAACTTTCTTAACCACATTGCCGCAAAGACACCAGGAATATGCAGTCCCTTAGACTGGAAGTGCAGGGGCCAGAAAAACGAATAGATGCTGTGTACCCACATGAACATCTAGTATCCCTCATGCCTGCCTTTGTGTTTGGCAAGCAAGTTTCCCAGGGCGGTACCCCACATGTCAATATAACTATCAGGTCCTGGATAAGGGGGAGGTGCGGAGAAGTAGCTGTCCTCTTGAAGTTTGCACTGGCACTGAAATATCAAGGACCACAGTCTAAGAGGCTTGTATCAGTCTTAGTGCAATTAAAGAAGATGGAACACTCCAGTATTCTTGCCTGAGAAATGTCATGGACAGAGAAGTCTGGTGGGCTACATTCCTTGGCATCGCGGAGTTGGACACGACTTAGAACAACACAATCCCACAGATTGTGATCTGGGGAAATAGTTCTTGATGGAAATGTGGCATAAGATGAAGAGTGACCTAGCAATATGGAATACACAGTTTTGTAAGAAATAAAAATTTATGTACAGAATAATTAATAGTTGCATATATTCAAAGTCTGGCTAAAGGAAAAAAGGAAGAGGAGAGATCGAAAGACCAGCTCTGGCTTATGCTGCCAGTTAGCTAGGCCACTGGGAAGCTAGCTTTGAGTTGACTTATTTCCTCCTCCAGATCTGGGTGGTGTGGAAGTTTACTACAAAGGCTGTCCCTGGTGTGGGGCAGCAATTGAATTAAGTGTGGAGCTGGCAGCATATGTCCTTGAGTCCCACAAGTCTTTGTGGTACATCTTCAAATGACAGTTGGGACTCCCTCCTATGCCCCTTGCTGCTGCTGCCACAGCCAGAGAACCATTGACTCTTCTGATCCTCACCCCTGATTTCTCTTTGAATCATGTCAGTTAACTTCCCTTCTCCTCCCCTGCAGAGTGATGGGTAACTATGTTCCTGATCTCTTGGGGTCATATAAAGAGTGCCAGCCAGCCTTGGGGGTGGGTCGCTAGCAGGAGGAATAAGCATGTTTAGATACTTCCCCCTTACCCCTGCCTCTTGATTCTCCAGTCCTGCAGTTAGATCCCATTGCTCTCTCTGTTGCCCTGGTAACCAGCTCAGCAAGAAGAAACTCAAGCTCAGCAAAGCCCCCAGGTTCTCTGCCCTCCCAGCCTGCCTCTCAGTGGGTAGAAAGAAGGCAACTGTTAGGGGCAGACAGATCAGCCTTAGGTAGCCCTTCTCTATCCCCTTCCAGAAGCCCATGGACTGGGTGCTTAAAGTTTTTGGCCCCCTTCTCCTCACAGGTGTTAATCACACCACCCTCTCTCCCTCTGTTTCTTCCATCATAGAGTGTAGATGCCTTGACAACCATCCTCCTCATGAGGTCAGCACGTGGGCCTTATGGGAGACTCAGGACAGCAAAGGACTTAGAATCCCAAAGTTGTCTCCCAGCATCAGTAGCCCACTTAGGTTGGGTTGTCCCTCTAGGGCAGCGATTCTAAATCCTGGCTACACAATCACTTGGGGATACTTTTAAAAAATACCATAAACTTGGCCCTACCTCAGAGGTCTGATTAATTAATTTGAGGTGTGGCCAGGGAAACAGTATTTTTGAAAAGTTCCTTGGATTACAATGTCCAATTGGGGCGAGAACCACTGCTGCTCTAGGAGCACTATAACTTGATGCTGGTTTTCCTCTCTGATTCAAGGTCTTGAACTTAGTCTATGCCTGATATCCTTGAGTAGTTGGAGGGTGCTGGGGTCCTGTTCCCCAATTCCAATTTCCAGGAGTCTCTTTGACCCTTGTATTTGCAGCCCCCACACACTCCACACTCCCCAATTCTTCCCCCTTCCTAAATGACAATCCCAAATCCTGCCCAGAGAGGACGTTACCAAGGCAACCAGCTTAATCTGGCAACTGTGGCATGTGCTGGGAGTGGAGCCCTCCTCTCCTTACTCAGTTCATAAAATGCTTGGGGAGCTCCAAGCCACTCCAGCCAGTTTCCCCTCTTGACCCCAGGGACATCAGGGTATCCAATGAAGAGAGTATCAGGAAACTGATACTTGAATCTCTATTCTAGCTTCTCAGCCAAAATTGTTCTCTCTCCTTTTTTACTGTTCCTTTTTGCAAATCCACAAACAGATGGGTGTGCAAAGCTTTAATTCTGTGAACACATGCTCTTGTACACATCAGACCAGATAAGCACACACGGTGACACGTGTAGTACACACCCTGTTCAGTTTTACCACCACTCCCAGGCTTTCGCATTCCTGTCTCTGCCTGGCCCATGCACAGTAAACAGAGGTGGGGCATTGTCCAAGGAGCCTCAACCCATATGTTGCCTGGTGCCACACCCCCACCTTGGTACTTTAACCTTGACGTGCTTACACGGAGCGTGTCTCCATACCCGCCTCTCCCTGGGACAGTCTATCCTTAGCGACAGAATGCTTTGGGCGTAGGCATCAGAAATAAGGATCATCTGGAGTGCATGTTCCGTAGCCACTCCATGGCTATGCCACCTCTAGAGTGTCTCTCTATGCCTGATGGTGTTGGTTGGCAGTTCTAGAGCTTGACACCCATCTTCAGGGCTCTGCTTCCTCCTGCTGCCAGTAGGTGATAGTGCCCTTGTGCTCCTGGCCTCGCTCTCCCTCTGCCTACCATCTCTTCTCCTCACCCTAATTAGACCTGCCACAACCTGCTGCTCTCTGCTTGGCTCCTGCCTGCCTGCCAGTACCTGCCTCTCACAGGCCAGGCCCTCACCATCTATTGTGCCCTACCAGAAAGGGCAGATGGGTAGTGCCCCCCTGCCCCCCTCCCCCATTCCAATGCCAGTTCACTCGAGGCCTACCCAGCCCTTTTTACAGAAAGAAGATAAAGACCACATCCTCCACTGAGTATGGCAACAGAGCGCACAATCGAGATCGAGAGTGATGGACACTCAATCAGCAATTTTTGTAGGCCTCACTTGAATACAGGCAGGTCCATCAAGGTGTGCAGCCTGATTTTTTGCAAGAGTCCCCGTAAGCCTCGAGCCAGGAAGCTCCCTCTCCACTGGCAAATGACTCCCTCGCCCTTGCCTTTAATGTCTGCGTTTACTCGGAACCCAATCCCCTTCAGCCCCTTACTGTTTCCCTCACGGTCAGCCCCAGCGCCCAAGTTCAAGCCTCGCGCGGCCCAGGTGGGCGGGCCCATGAAGGCGGGCCCATGAAGGGTAGGGGCGGGGACTGGGCGGGGACTGGAGGAGGGGGCGCGGTCTCAGTTCTGCCACCTTCCCCCCGGCCAGGAGCGCAGCCGCCGCCGCCGCCGCCGCGTCCTCTCAGCCTTGCGCTCCGCCCGCTGCCTCTGCCGCCGCAGCCCGGCCCAGGAGCGCAGAGCCTTTGGGCACCGGCCCCGCAGGCTGCCCACCCTTCGGGCCGCGTGCGCTGCAGCCGGCATGGGGGGCCACTGAGAGCCGGTACTCCTTCCCTCTGGCACCTCCCCCGATCACTGGCCACTGGACTCCGGCCAGCGAGCCTCGGGCACCTCTGGCCCCCAGTCCGGAGCCTGGCACGGCCCTCAGCTCTGTCCCTCCGGCTCTGAGCATCGTGTCCCTTCCCCCCCCGCCCGTGCCTGGGACACCTGGGTCCCCCGGCGGCCCCGAGGAGAGGGGCGGGGGGGGGGGTATGAAGCCGCTGGAGAAATTTCTGAAGAAGCAGACGTCGCAGCTGGCGGGGCGAACGGTGGCGGGAGGTCCCGGCGGGGGTCCGGGGAGCTGCGGCGGGCCTGGAGGGGGTGGGGGACCTGGCGGGGGCGGCGGTCCAGCCGGGGGACCGCGGGCGCTGCAGCGGCGTCAGAGCGTGTCTCGCCTGCTGCTCCCAGCTTTCCTCCGGGAACCCCCCGCCGAGCTGGGGCTGGAGCCGCCCCCAGAAGAGGACGGGGGAGAGCCGGCGGGGGTCGCGGAAGAGCTCGGCAGCGGGGGGCCCTGTTGGCTGCAGCTGGAGGAGGTGCCGGGGCCCGGGCCGCTCGGGGGAGGGGGACCCCTGCGCTCCCCTTCCTCGTACTCCTCAGACGAGCTGTCCCCCGGCGAGCCTCTGACTCCTCCACCCTGGGCCCCTCTGGGCGCCCCCGAGCGGCCGGAGCATCTTCTGAACTGGGTTCTGGAGCGGCTGGCCGGAGGGGCCACCAGGGACAGCGCCACTTCAGGTAAGGAGTGGGCTGGCTCATCCATCCCGGAGTAGGGTTTGCCCCCTCCCCCGCCCGGGTCCTCTTGCTTGCCCTTGGACGGTGAGGGTGGCGCCGTGCGGGAGCCTCGGTGTGGGGTTGAGTGGTCAGCTGAAGTGGCGTAGGGGCCTACGGGAGGGACAGAGCTTTCTGCAGCAGAGAAGTGGCAGTGCCACCTTCCTCCGCGTAGCAGCCTCACCCACGCCTGGAGAAGAAGCTGAACCCCTTTCCCCCATTGAGCTCCCTTCCTCTCCCCTGGACATTTCATCCAGACCCTATGGGTCCCCGGTGTTGACTACCTCCTTCTGTGGCTGAGAATTCGAGCTTGACCCACTAAGATGGAAGCTGCCCAGACTGGTCAGTGCAGCCCTCTAGAGGTGGCCAAGCCCCGAAAGACCTTCGAGGAGTCCCCGGTTCTCTTTAGAAGGCCCACAGCAGAGGGCTGGCCCACTTGGCGGGGCAGGGCCAGACAGGCACATGGCGGCCGGAGCTGCCTTTAGGCCCTGGCAAAGGGATGCATTGTCCCTAGCAGCTTGGGGAGGGGGAGGGTGTGGAGGGAGGCATTCTAGTTGGGGGTGGATTCAGAAGGTGTCTGGTGGCTGGGCAGACCTCAGGCCCTGCAGCATCCAGGGGGGTCTGAACCTCTCCAGCTCCTGCCCTTCCGGTGGCAGGCCTCAGCACAGGGCCTCTTTAAAAATAACCACACCCTGAGAGGCTTATTCCCTAAATGATGAAGCTATTTTGCCACTCCCCACAAGCACCCCTGCTAAGGAGATCTTGAGGAAACTGAGGCCCCAGATTGCTGGTTAGCAGCTCTGAAGTAAAAGATCCAAGGGTTTTCAGGGCTAGTTGTCAGCATTTCACTAACACCCAGTGGGGTCTGAGGATTGGGAGCCCAGGCTGAGGGCCTGCGGATAGGGGTTTCACACTTTGCTCCTAGACCTTTGCAGGGAGCCCTAACCCAGGTGTGCGGAATGGGGCTCCACTCCCCTAGATTTTTCTCAAGACCCAGGTACTCTCCTTGGCTCAGGTTACAGTTGCCCTGGGGAGCTGACACCTTTTGGATTTAATTAGAAAAATATCAGACACACACAGCTCTCTTAACCATAACTTCCCGCCTACACCACACACACTGTGTCTCTATGACACATTCCCTGGGGAGGCTGTGCATTGGACCAGAGCCTGCCTAGGAAGAGACAGACACCAAGCTGTAGCCCCTATGGCAGCATCTCCCCCACTCTGCCCCATGGGCCTCTTCCTTTGTTGGTTCTGTTTCGCTTTCCTGTGAGGTAAAGAATGGAGGGAAGGTTTGGGGGCATCCCTAGTCCTCGTCCCCATCCCTGGGGCTGAGGATCAGGGCTGGGGGGCTCTCTGACTCACTTTAAAGACTGGGCAGAGAGAAAAAGGGAGAAACTGTCTTTCCACTTTTGCCAGGGCCTAGTGCCACAGACGCTGCTCATTGTCCCCTGGGGAAGGACTCTTGAACTGACTGTCACTGTATTACCTGGACTGGCAGGCTGGATCTCCAGAGTAACTGGTCCGGGGAAACCCCAAAGCAGTCCCAGAATAGATGAGAATCAAGCTTAACCTGCCACTCTGATATTCTCCAATATAACCAATATTCTTAAGCCATCTCAGTTCCCTCCCAGGGCGTGTGGGCGGAGGAGACTTACAAAAGCCACCCCAAACAAGACAAAGCAGCCCCCCCGCTGCCCACTGTACTTCACCCTGACACTCTGCTTGCCTCAAGCACAGTGAGAAAAGAACAGAATCTCAGGAGTCAGGGTTCTTACTCCAGCTCCAAGCAAGTTCCTCTCAGCTCTGGGCCTTGGTTTCTCATTTGTGAAATGAAATCATTGAAGTTGAGGATCTCATGTTGATTCACCCGCTCCACTTTCATGGCTAGAATTGGAGGCCAGGGGATGGTGACCCAAGGGCCATCAGAAGCCTTGGGGCAGTGCCTGGGGACCTGGCCCCAACCTGTCCTGGTGAGGACACCTGGCTCCCTCCCCGGGCCCTGCCTGTCTGTGTATGCCAGGATGCCCTACCCCACCCCAGGGCTGGCTGCAAGTCAGGGCGACCTTGTACCTGGCTGACTGGCTGAGCCAGGCCCAGATGGAGGTGTGGAGGGGAAAAGGGTGGTGTGAGGAGCCACTCCCCTCCACCCTTGCATCATTAACTCTTCCATCTCTGGGCAGCTGGAGGACACAAGCTTTCTATTTAAAGGCTTTGGGATCAAAGAGATGGCAGTCGTCCCTTTCCCTTTTAATGGGGCTGGTTCTCACCTGCCTAGTTGGAACTCAAAACTCTTAGGTAGGGAGTGGGGAGGAGAGGAGGAACACACACACACACACACACACACACACACACACACGCCTCCGCTGACCCTACCTCTGTGCTTAGAGGTTCTCTTGGCCTAGAGACACTTCTAGAGGCTACCTCTCTTTTTCCCCCGGACAGATCTCAAGCTTGGCGTATTAAGTGACCCACTACCCACGCACACTGGAGAGAAGTGGGCGTGGCCATTGGAAGGCGCCCCCTCCTTCCCTCCAGCTGCCTTGGCAGCTGCCAACCCCACCCCCGCAGCGGCTGCCCAGAACCTTCACGTGTGTGTGTGGGTGTGTGTGTGTGTGTATGGTGGGGCATGTGCAGAGCATGACCGGGCAGGTGTCTGAGGCTCCAGCCCGGCTAAAGAGAATTTGCCCTGGAGGCAAGAGAGGGGGAGTGGTGAGCCTCCAACCAGGTCCTGGAAGTGCCCTCCTGACATCAGTGGTGGTGACTGCTCTTACAGATACCCTGCTGGATGACATCGTCCTCACTCATTCGCTCTTCCTTCCCACGGAGAAATTTCTTCAGGAGCTGCACCAGTAATATCCTTTTGTGGAGCTTGCGAAATGGGAGGTCAGGAGGGAGCCACTCCCTGCATCCCACATGCCATGGGATGTGAGGGGCTCAGCTCTTCCTAAGAAAACACACATGAGTTTCAACCCCAGGTTCTTCACTCACCAACTGTGTGACCCCGGGCAGATCACCTGACCTCCTGGGGCCTCAGTTTCCCCTTCTGTAAAACGGGGCTAAACAGTACCTGCTCCTGGGGCTGCTGTGGAGACCATTCTGGGAGCAGACATAGGACTGCTTGGAGACTGCAGAGCCCTGTATAGATGTAAGGTGTTATTATTCTATTAAGAGTGCCTCTCTCCCCACTGAATTATTGCTCTAAACATCCGGTTGCCCAGAGAGTTATTACAGGGTCTGATGTAAACATCAGGTCACAGCGGTGCTTTCATAGGGTCACTAGAGACAAGTCGCTGACTGGGCTATTCATAGGGCCTCTCAACGAGTTATTCTAGGACCTAATTGTAAATGGCAGGCCAGTGAGTAGAATATCATAGGTTCTCTTTGAAACACCAGGCCTTACACGGAGAGATGGTCAGGTTTGTGGTTAGCACCATCGGCCTTTAGCAGCCTGCTGTCAGCTCAGCGCTGTGGGCTGATCAGGTGGGTCCAGGCAGAGTAGCTTCTAGTGAATTTCTTCAAGTGAAATTCAAACAAGCAAGAGCTGCATGTGGTTGAGTGGGTGCCATCCCTACCTACTCTGGCAAAAACCTGGGCTGGGGCATGGGTCTTGGTTCCAGGGAACTTCAGAGCCCCTTTCTCTCTGGCCCCAAACCTAGGGAATTTTTAGGGGTGGCCTTGCCTCCCATTGCAAAGCCTTGCCTCCCATACGCCTTCCCAGTGTCCTCAAGTCTGCGTGCCAGGGCTTTTTCTTAACTTAGGGGTCAGCTTTGTTTGGGCAGGAGGCATGGAAGGCCCCGAGGGGGTGGGCCGGAAGCAGGCCTGTCTAGCCATGCTCCTTCATTTCTTGGACACCTACCAGGGGCTGCTGCAGGAGGAAGAGGGGGCTGGCCGCATCATCAAGGTGGGCCTGGGATGAGAAGGTGGGTGACCAGGCTGTTTGTTCTGGAAGGGGCCCTTTTGAAGGAGCCATAGTTCTCAATCTGGGTACCTGGAAAAAAAGAGGCCAGCAAGTCCTAGCTTATACAGTTCTTCTGTGCTTGAAGTCATGGAGGCCCGGCCCTGCCCTTGCAGAGAGTGATGCTGGGATGAGACCCCTGCCCTCACCTTCTTTCTCCTTGTCTCTGCAGGAGCTGTACCTGCTGATTATGAAGGATGAGTCCCTTTACCAGGACCTCCGAGAGGACACACTGCGGCTGCACCAGCTTGTGGAAACAGTGGAGCTAAAGTGAGGGGAATGGGCTTGGGGAGGGGCCAAGAAAGAAGTCCCCCTTGTTCCTCAATTAGAGGGCTGGGTGCCTCTGGCCTTTGGACTCCAAGATGCCTTGATTTCAGTCCCTTTCTCTTATTGGAGAGGAGCACAGAGCATTGTCTCCAGTCATTTTGGGGGTCCATTCTCCCCTCCACTTATTTGTCAGTCCAGGGGTGTACTGATAAATATTGAACAGCCAGCACTTCAGGAAGAAGAGCCCTGACTTGTAGCTTTTGCTGATTCCCATGGTGTAAATTCTCTCACCATGGTTGATTTCAAGCTCCCAACGGATGTCATTGAATGTGAAGTTGGGAAGAGGTGTGCAGTAGCAGGTCATTGTGTAGTATCATCACAACCTGAAGAGCACAGAGAAGAATGTAGTGAAACAATTAGGAAATGACTTTTTTTTTGTATTATAATAATTTGGCTATAAGTTTATAAAACATATATCTATTTATATATAATTATCTATTATAATTAATTTTTTAATGGCTGTGTTTAAAACCAGTTGGCAAAATTCTCCAAAATTTAACAGTCTGCCTTCATAAGCCATTGTGAGCTGACTTCAAGACACCACGGTGTCCATCTGTCCATCTTTCCAGCTCTTTCAGTTTCTCCATCCCACTGTCATAACCCTCATTGAGGCTTCAGTATCTCTCACCTGGATTATGGCTGCAACCTCTGATCCAGGGCTTTAGCTTATGGTTGTGTCTTTCTTATGCTGATGCCACAGAGATTTTTCAAACTTGACAACCTTGTGCTTCTGTTAGCAAAATATCCATGCCCTCCACCCCAGCATCCTAGCCCCTCTCTGTCTGCCTTCTGCTGATCCTTCCCATCTCCCTCATCACCCCTTACCCATGACACTCCCTATATACCCACCAATTCCACGAACACCTGTGTGTTCTCAACTTCCTGCTATCACTTATATGGTCCACCCCAGAGTGCCTTCCTCCCACCCCCTTCCCTTCCTGTTGTCCTTCAAGGTCCAGGCCAAATACCATCTTCTCAGTGAAAGCATCTTTTGGTGATAGCTGTCCCCCCCTCCCTCCCTGTACCAACAAAACTCTTCTTGTGCCTTTATTATATCATCTAACACCTCCTGTCTGATGTGAGAAGTAGCTGTACGCAAGTCTGTCTCCCTCCCAGACTGTGAAGTTTTTGTCGGTAAAATTCAGCAAACAGCTGATGACCTACACCCACCATGTAGCAGGCAGCGTGCTAGGCCTGGAGGTTGAAAATAAAATTCAGTCAGCTCTCAATCTTGTAGAAGAGATAAGACACGAAGGTAAACACATACTAGCCCAATGTCCTACAGCCATTGAGACAAAAAGGTGACCTCTGCTGGTGGGTGGGGTGGATAGAGAAGAATTCAGGGAGGAAGTGGCATTAGATTCGGTCATTCGGACAGCTGTCCCATGCTGGCCATGGTCCTGTCTTCTGACCTCCTTCACCACTCTCTGAACCTGATACTGGGGTACCCTTGACCCAGTTCTGACGTCCCTGCTTGATGCTGCCTGCCTGGCATGCAAGATGCCTGGCCAGGCTCTCTGATGCCCAGCGGTGTCGACACCAGGATCCCAGAGGAGAGCCAGCCACCCAGCAAGCAGGTGAAGCCACTCTTCCGCCACTTCCGTCGGATAGACTCCTGTCTGCAGACCCGCGTGGCTTTCCGGGGTTCCGATGAGAGTGAGTGTTCTGGGGGCTCTGAGGGGTCTCCGGACCGCGGGTGCCCTCTATGGGGTTTCCTTCTGTCTCAGAACCGGTCCTTTTCACAGCATGTTTTTTGGAGGCCAACTCATTTCAGATTGCAGTGGGGTGGGGAACAGAGGTGCTCAGCAGGGGGCTGTGCTGATGCTGCCATTCTGCCCACTGGTGAAAAGCCACCTTCCGGTCTCTGTTTAGTCTTCTGCCGGGTCTACATGCCTGATCACTCTTACGTGACCATACGCAGCCGCCTCTCAGCATCTGTGCAGGACATTCTGGGCTCTGTGACCGAGAAGTTGCAGTACTCAGAGGAGCCTGCAGGGCGTGAGGATTCCCTCATCCTGGTTGCTGTGGCCTCCTCAGGAGGTGAGGGTCAGAAAGAGCTGGGCTGGGGTGGGGGAGTGGTGGGACAAGAAGAGAAACTCACAAACCCAATGCCCTGGGGCAGAAGTAACAGCTGAATTCTAGGCCTTGGCTGCTACTCTAAGTGTGGTCCTAGGACCAGCCACAGGAGCATCACCCGGGAGCTTGCTAAAAACTATCTCCGCCCCCACCCCAGACCTGCAGAGTCAGAATGTGCATTTTAACAAGATCCCCAGGTGACGTCTATGCATATTAAAGGGGACATATTGGTCCAAGACACTTGGATGCTGCTCTGGGTGCTTGCCTCTTACTCACCTAGGGATCTGGTCCTCTAACCTCCTCAAGCATCTAAGGATGCTACATTTTTGAGACCAAAGACACAGGATGGGCCTCCAATCCCTGTAGGAAGGCAAAAATCCCTGCAGTGTAGTTATAGCCTTATTTTCCTCTAAGACATAAAAAAAAAATCCTGTTTTCTCAGTGTCACTGGGATGATAGAATAAGAGAAGAGCTAAAAAGAATGTTGGGAGTCAAAAGGAGGTTGTAAATGCAAGACAATCCATTTTTTGAAAACTGTTGTTTAAATACAGCATAGGCCAGTGATGACAAGTCCCGTTAGCCTAGAGTACATCTGTGCAGGGTTGGGAGCATTGGGATCGGGCAGTGGCTGGGGGATGCGAGGGTGCAGGGGTCGATGCTGAGGCAAAGCAGCTCATTCTTCTGCAGAGAAGGTCCTTCTCCAGCCAACTGAAGACTGTGTCTTCACCACACTGGGCATCAACAGCCACCTGTTTGCTTGCACCCGAGACAGCTTTGAGGCCCTGGTAAGAACTCCTTCATAACCCTTTGCTGGTAGCAGAGGCTGAGAGGGGCTGGGCCAGAAATTCACAAGCCCAGCCCCTGTGCCCCTGCCTGCCCCACCAGGTGCCCCTTCCTGAGGAGATCCAGGTCTCCCCAGGAGACACGGAGATCCATCGTGGGGAGCCTGAGGACGTGGCCAACCACCTTACCGCCTTCCACTGGGAACTGTTCCGCTGTGTGCACGAGGTGGGGACTGAGGCTGCAGCTGGGCTGGGGGCCTGCAGAGAGGCAGCGCTCTGGGCTGAAAGTTCTGGTTAGGACGCTCCGTGCCCTTGCAGCATGCCTTGGGGCAGGTTGCCGCCAGAACGTCTCTAAGCCTTTGTCCCCGTATCTGGGGAATAAGAAAAAGCGAAGAGAGAGGACCATCCCCCGTCCCCCATCAGGGTGGTTCAGGATCCAAGTGGCGCTTATACAGAACCTGACCCACAGTTAGCATTTGTAAAATATTCACTATTAAAGAAAAGGCAGAGACAGTAATGCCGATCAGATGGTTCAAGCGCCTGGCAGCGTGTAAGCTTTCAGTAGATGGTAGAGTATTATTAATGTTGGTTGTTTCCCCTCCCCGCCTCCCCCCGTTGCATCTTGTCCTGTCCCCGCTTTTTCTATTTTCCACCCCTCCCGCCCCCGCCCTCCTGCCTGTCCTGGCTCCCCGCCTCCCACTGTCATCTCCCGCCCCCCGCCTCCATCCCACGCCCTGGCGGCCCTTCTGCCGCCGCGGCTGCAGCTGGAGTTCGTGGACTACGTGTTCCACGGGGAGCGCGGCCGCCGGGAGACGGCCAACCTCGAGCTGCTGCTGCAGCGCTGCAGCGAGGTCACCCACTGGGTGGCCACCGAGGTGCTGCTCTGCGAGGCCCCGGGCAAGCGCGCGCAGCTGCTCAAGAAGTTCATCAAGATCGCGGCCATGTGAGTGCGGCCGGCCGCGGAGGGGGAGGCCCTGGCCCCCCTCCCGCCCCTCACTGACCCCGCCTCCCCGCCCGCTGACCCCGCCTCCCGCCCCCGCAGCTGCAAGCAGAACCAGGATCTGCTGTCCTTCTACGCCGTTGTCATGGGGCTGGACAACGCCGCCGTCAGCCGCCTGAGGCTCACCTGGGAGGTGAGGTGACCGCCTCCTCGCCTCCCACCTGGGCCGGTCCACCTCGGGGATCTTGGCCTGCACGCACAGTCTTGACATCCCTGGGCTCACCCCAGAGATCTCTCCCGGGATGGCTGCTCGCTTCTGGGGGAGCTTTTGTGAGGATTGGAAGGAGGCGCCCTCTTCTGGCGAATACAGCTCCGGGGCACCGGGCAGGGCTGAAGGGCCGGGTAGCTGTGCAAATCAATGAAGGTGGATTCGCGCCTGACCGCGGAGTGGTGGGTGGGGGGGCAGGCAGCCCGGCCCAGGAAGCAGAACGGGCTCTGGGATTTCAGCCCGCACCCGGGGAGGCTTTGTGCGTGGCTCAGGCATCAGCAGTGGCCTCCATTTCGCCAGAAGAGATCATTCCTCTGGGCCGCCGCCAGCGCCCCAGACCTAGCCCAAGGCTGGGTCTCCTTTCCCACCCTCTAGGCTTCCCAGCCCCCTGCCCGGCACTCCTGCCCTTCCCCCTCTAACACCTGGGGATTAGTCAGGAGGGCCCATGAAACCCAAGGAGCTCCAGAATCTGACATCTCTTTCCTTCAACCTGCAGAAGCTGCCAGGGAAATTCAAGAACTTGTTCCGCAAATTTGAGAACCTGACAGTGAGTGGGTTTGGCTCTTTTATCTGCCGCTGGACTGGCACCCCAGAGACTTTCAGTGCCCACAAACCTTTCACCTCAAGCTTCCCTTTCAAGGTTTTTAATGTCTGGGAGCCCCACTCCCGACCCCCCTCCTCCAGCCCACCACGCTGGGAGGGAAGCTGGGGGGATTGTGGCTTTGTTTTCCCCAGGGAAGAGGATACAGCCGTGAAGTCCCCACTTAGACACCCAAGCACACCCCTGTCTGTTCGGAGATATTTGTAGGGAAGGGGCTAGGGGAGGGGGAGGGGGACAACTTTGGGGTACACTGGGCCTATTTTCACTTTCTCCCTCTGCTGTGGAACCCTAGGACCCCTGCAGGAACCACAAAAGCTACCGGGAAGTGATCTCCAAGATGAAACCTCCTGTGATTCCTTTTGTGCCTCTGATCCTCAAAGGTGAGAGTCGCTTCCAAGCTATGTTCCTCTCCACACTTTCCATGCCCCGTTCAGACCCTCAATCCCCTCTCTATTCAGCTCTGTGTGTGCTACAAAGAGAGAAGCCCCCAGGTTGAATGTGGTTTGGGGGAGGGGAAGGGCCCTTTGGACCTCCTCTCCCTTTTTTGTAACTTTTATTTGCATTTGTGTGTGTGTGTGTGTGGCATCTATTCTCCAGCCATAAGTGTTTATTTCTTCAGTTTCTTCTGGGATATCTTTTTCTTCTGTGCAGCCTCCTCTCTGGTTCAGGAACAGTCTGTTCTTTTTCAGTAAGGATCATCTCCATGTGGCAGGGAGGACTCACGTATAGGTTGATCTGACCATGAGCTCTGTAAGACCCGCCAGCATCTTGGGGGCTTTGTTCACTGGGATGTGCTCAGTGACCAGGGTATCTACCTCTCTGCCCTTAAGTTCAGCATTATTCTCTGCATTTTTGAGCATGTGCAGTAAAAATTCAGCACTCTTTGGACCACCAGCCCTGAGTCTAGCCCCACTGTTTGGTTGCCAGCTCCACCACTGTAACGACGGGACGGCACGCGTTGCTTCTGTAAAGTGACATCCTTCAGATACTTGGTGGCTTTTTGGATATGCAGTCCCCTTAATGGCCTGGGCAGTTTCATGAGTGTTCTTAAAGTGAACACAAAGATTTGAACCTCTTGATTTGCATGATTTTCTGGGGTCAAATGAACAGCAAACCATTTTTACAGGTCTCCTCGGGTCTCTTCCAGGAAAAGTGGATCTCCCCCTCTTACCTCTTTGCTTCTCTCCCCATCCCTAGACCTGACTTTCCTGCATGAGGGAAGTAAGACCCTGGTAGATGGCTTGGTGAACATTGAGAAGCTGGTGAGTGACACTGCCAACCCCAGTCCCATAAGTAGGGTGGCTGGTACCCTCCCCTGCTCTTGGCACACACACCCCTGAAGACAGCACCTTTCCTCATGGTGCCCAGCTTGCCTGGAAGACTCCTGACTGTCTCTGTGGTGGTGTCACTGTGGCAACCTGCCCACGGATGGCAAAATTGGGGTGGGGGCAACTCTGCCTCTCCCTAACCTGACCCCCTGTCACACCCCTTCTTTGGTCCAGTGGAGAAGGGGGAGCCTTGGGAGGGGAGCACCTTTCTGGGCCCTTTTCGGGACTCAGTTCTTGTCATCTCCCAGCATTCAGTGGCCGAGAAAGTGAGAACAGTCCGCAAATACCGGAGCCGGCCACTTTGTGAGTACTTGGGGTTTTGAGGGCGTTACAAGTGGAGGTTTGACACAGCAGGAGGGTTTCTGGGAGACTCCCCCACTCCAGTGTTTATTTCCTTAAACATCTCATTTCTCCATTCTCTCCTCGGCCTTCCCGGGGGCCCTCCTGCCCACCAGCCATCCCAGTTTTCACCCTTCCTTCCCTCTGGCTGGTTGTGTGCAGGGGAAGAAGTGCACCCTGACTGCCTCCCTCCCTGTCCTTGCATCCCCAGGCCTTGATATGGAGGCCTCCCCACATCACCTGCAGACCAAGGCCTACGTGCGCCAGTTCCAGGTCATTGACAACCAGAACCTCCTCTTCGAGCTCTCCTACAAGCTGGAGGCCAACAGTCAGTGAGAACTGAGGTTCTGGTCGGCCCCTCACCAGGGTCCTTGGGCACCTGGCACTCAAGCACTTTGCACGATTCCCTGCCCACATCTGACAGCTTTCTTCTGGAGCCGCTTCCTGCCCCACGGGAAGGAGTTGGGTGACTGAGCCCTGGACTCATAAGCCTGTTCTTCCTGCTGAAGTCCTTTCCCCCATGCTCCTTCAAGCCCAAGCCACCCTCTGCTGGTTCCTGCCCTCCCAGGGGAAGCAGTGGGCAGAGAGCTCCTTCCCTGGCCCCTCCCATCCAGGTCTGTTCCGGAGATGGAGTTTCCCATCTCCTCTACCCAAGCAGGCAGGAAGGCTTTGCCCACCGCTCGCCCCATCTCGTCTCACAGAGCAGAGCTGTGGGAGGGATTGGCAGCCTTCCTCTCCACCACCTGCCTGGTTTCTGCCTGACTTCTTCCTGGTGAGGGCTGGGACCCCTAGATGCACCCCCAGATGTTATATCGCCCTTGTGTCTGTCTGTGTGCGTGCGTGCATGCGTGTGTATGTTTGCGTGCATGCATGTGGCCCTTTTGAAGGAGCGGAACTGCATCTGGCATTTGAGGGAAGGTGCTGTGTTACTGGGGAGGGGGTCCTTCTGTTTGGTGCTACCCTTGTCTGCTCTGCTCCTGGGATGGTGCAGGGTGCTTTCCCCACCCCCACCACTCCCTGCCCAGCTCCTCCCCTGCCCTGCACACACAGGCTTGTGGGTGAAGCTGCTCTGGAGGGCAGGGAGCAGCAGCAGACAGGAGGGTTACTATCAGCCCTTACAGGTCCCCGATTCAGGCCTCCTAAAGTTCCCTGGGTGGGCTCTGATGAGAGGGTAAAAGATGCTCAGGGAAACACAGGTCTAAGCTGCCTACAGGACCCTCCCTCCACATTGCAGTGGGATGAGACGTGGCAGCAGGAGTCAGGGTTGATTTCTGCCCATCCTCCTGGTTTTTGGGTGTCTCACTGCTAAGAAGGGAGTATCGTCTCCCTTTGGCTCTTCTGCAGGGATGCCAGCACATGGTCTCACCTTCCTCCCTGTCTTGACTCCCCTCTTGGTCCTTCCCATCAGAGCTGGGTGGGGTGGACTCCTGTACTTGGGGCAGGCAGCCGCCCCTGCTCCTGACATGGGGCAGGGAATGGCAGAGACTGGAAAAGCGAAACTGGGCCTTGGCGATGCCTCTGTTACCTCTCAGTCTCCCCTCCTTCTCCCATCAGGGGCCTCCAGGGCTGAGGGTGCAAGACTCCCGGCAGCTACGGGGTGAGGTTTCCTGGCTCAGCCTCACCCTCCTTTCTGGCACCACCTCTTTCCCTTCCGAAGAGGCAGCAGCAGCCCCAGCCAAAGCAGCTGCTGCTCCTGCTCTGAGAGTGTATATATTTTTTACCAAAAGTTCGGAAATTGTAAATTTATTTTTTAAAACTCAAGGAGGGAAAGAGCCTTGTATCATATGTAAACAGTGTATCATATATGATGTTGTACAGTCCCTTTTATACTGCGGTCTGTCTTGTTCCTGCTGCAAAAATATGTCTATAGACTCCCCACCCCCACCACGTCCGCTGGCGCTGTGTCCCACCCCCTCCATCCCTAGAGACAGTGACCTCTGTCTGTCCACTCTTCCCTGCTACTGCTGATGTGCTCTTCTCTCCCTGCAGACATCCTTCCTCCCGACACCTCTCAGCACCCTTGTCACTCCAGTGCTCACAGTCCTCCCCAAACCCAGGGGCCCCCCTGGTCCAGTCTCGGCTACTGCCCACCTCTGGCCTTGACCCCTGCCCTGCTGCCTCCCACGGGCCTCCCAAGCCTGCCTTCCCAAGCCCCGCAGCTCTACCAGAGTGAATCGTGCGTGCTCCACAGGCTCGATTGTCATTGCAGAAACCTGCTGGAGTCAAAGCCGATAAAAGTCTATGAATTGACCCTCCTGCTGTTCTCCATTCTGTTTCTTTGAGACTGGGGAAGGGCCAAAGGGGGAGAGAGGGAATCCATCTCTCAGGACTCTGGGCTGGGCTGTTCTGGAGTGACTTTGAAAAACGTGGGTGAGAGGAAAAGATGCTGCCTAGTGCCTGGGACTTGCAAGAATGAATGTTTTAGCTCTTCCATGTTCTAGGCGTGCCATGGATATGCGATCTTGGTTAATTCTAACACTGTGCGGTGGAGGATGGAAGCTGGACAGTCCCAGCAAAGTGTCCAAGTTACAGGGTGAGTGAGGTGGCAGAACAGGGCCTGTAACCGAAATCTGTCCATTGCAGACAGCGTGCACGTTCTCTGCTGCTACCCAGATGCATGCACTCTGCACGCAACCAGTATCTACCAGTTATACTAAGAAGTGGGGCAACTAGCGCTTAGCGCTCAGCTCTGATGGGAGCCTGACCTCCGGGAAACATCGCACTCAAGTCACACGTGAGCCCTTGACCCTCCCTCGTCTTGCTTCAGTTATTCCCTCAGTCTCCTGCATCTCAGAAAACAGTCTTCTCATCCACCCGAGTTTTCGAGGCAAGAATCTACAGCTCCACTCTTGATGATTCCCCTTTCCCTCATCCTTCACTCATCTCATCTGCCTCTTCCGGCAGCTTCAATTGCATAACACATCCTGGGACTTCCCTCGTGGTCCAGTGGTTAAGACTCTGCCCTTCCAATGCAGGGGACATGGGTTCGGTCTCTGGTCAGGCAACTGAGATCCCACGTGCCATTGCCAAAAACAAAAAACAAAGCAAAACAACCAAAACCAAATCCTGATCGGTCCACTTCTCCATTGCCACCAGTCCAAACCACTTTCATGTCTTCCCTGGATGCTTGCGTTGGCTTCCTACCTGGGCTCTCAGCTTCTTCTCTCCAACCTGCTTCTAACCCCACCGGTTTGTTCCCCACACTGCAGCCAGGGTGCTTTTTTACAACCCCAAATCAGATAATGTATGGCTCAACTTAAAGAAGGGCTTGCCAGGTTGCACTAGTGGTAAAGAACCTGCCTGTGAATGCAGGAGACAGATGAGATGAGGGTCCAATCCCTGGGTCAGGAAGATGCCCTGGAGGAGGGCATGGCAACCCACTCCAGTACTCTTGCCTGGAGAATTCCGTGAACAGAGGAGCCTGGCGGGCTATAATCCACAGAGTCATCACTAAGAGTCCACAACTGAAGCAACTTAGCACACACACGGAAGCTAAAAGAAAGTGGCGATACCAAGTATCAGTGAGGATACAGAGAAACTAGGACTTTTATAAGTTGTTGGTGGGAGTGTGAATTGGTACACCCAGTTTGGAAAATTGTTTGGTCATATCTACTAAGACTAAATGTACCCTGTACCTGTGACCTAGCATTTCCACTCCTGGGTGTATGTGTACCCAAGAGAATTTAGTGCCTGTGTCTACCAAAGAATATGCACCGCAATGATTATATCAGTTTTGTTCATGATAAATTGGAAAAAATCCAAGTGTCCTTCAACAGATAAATGAACAAATTGATTGTATATTCTTATAATGGAATATTACATGGCAAAAGAAAGGAACAAATGACTACTACCCTCATGGGCTTCCCTCGTGGTTCAGTCAATAAAGAATCCGCCCACAGTGCAGGAGACCTAGGTTCGATCCCTGGGTTGGGAAGATCCCCTGGAGAAGGGAACAGCTACCTACTCCAGTGTTCTGGCCTGGAGAACTCCATGCACCTTATAGTTCATAGGGTGGCAAAGAGTCGGACATGACTGAGCGACTTTCACTCACCTGCCTAAATGAATCTCACAGATATAACATTGAGTGAACAAAGCCAGACGTATAGACTATACACTGTACAATTCTGTTTTGAGAATTTAAAAAACAGGCAAAATTATGGAGAGAGAAGTGAAAATAGTGGTTGCTCGTGGGATGGGAGAGAGTATTGAAGTGCTGTGAAGAAACTCTCTGTGATGATAATAATGTTCTACATCTTTTTTTTTTTTTAATTGAAGTACAGTTCATTTACAAGGTTATGTTTCAGGTACAAAACAATGATTCAGTCTTATACATATAAATGTATATAACACACATATATACATACATATTTTCTTTTTCAGATTATCTTCCTTTATAGGTTATTAAAGATATTGAATATAGGGGCCTTCCCTGGTGGTCCAGTGGTTAGGACTCCACCCTTCCATTGCAGGAGGCATAAGTTCCATCCTGGACAGGAAACCAAGATCTCCCATGTGGCACAACGTGGCCAAACATTTGAAATTAAAAAAATAGAAAAAAAATAGAAAGATATTGAATATAGTTCCTTGTGCTATACATTATACACTTGTTTACCTATTTTATATATAGCAGTGTGTGTTAATCCCAAACTCTTAATTTTTTTTCCCCCACTTTCCCATTTATAACCATAAGAATGTTTTCTACATTGGTAACATAAGAATGTTTTCTACATCTGTGAGCCCATTTCTGTTCCATAAATAAGTTCATTTGTATCATTTGTTTTAGATTCCACATATAAGTGATATCATGTGACGTTTGTCTTTCTCTGTCTGGCTTACTTTACTGTGATAATCTCAGGTCCATCCATGTTGCTACAAATAGCGTTTTTTTCCATTCTTTTCTGTGACTGAGTAATATTCCTTTGTGTATATTGTATGTACCCCTCTTCTTCATCCACTCCTCTGTTGGACCTTTAGGTTGCTTCCATGTCTTGGCTTTTGTAAACAGTGCTGCCATAAACACAATATTCTATATCTTGACTTGAATGTGGTTGCAGTGTGAATGTATGTTCATTGAGATTGATATGAATACATTTTGCTGTAATGCTATATTTCAATGAAAACAATTCTGATTTTAACACTCCTATGTTTTTGACAACACAGGTTAAAAACAAAAATCCCCCCTCTCTGAGCTCACCTTCTCTTTCTTCTCTCCCTCACCCTCTCCAGCCACACTGACTGCCTTGCTGTTCCTAAAACACATTCTTTTTTTTTTTTTCCTAAAACACATTCTTGTCTCAGGGATTTTACCTTTGCTCTTCCCCGCATCTTTCCTGAGTGCTCTGACCACCCCCACTTTGTCTGTCTCCTCTAATTCTCCTGTATATTCTTCAAGGCTTTCATTGCTACCTGACATCATCGATACTTCTTCGTGTATTTGATTTTCCTGCCCCCAGAATGTTAGCTCCGGGAGTCTTTCATGTTCACTCTTCTGTACCAAGAGCAGTACTTGGCACCAAGAAGACACTCGATACATATTTGCTGAATGAATAAATTAGGTTATTTGAAATAGGAGTCGAAAGAGGAGGACAAGACACAAGATGATAAGTGCTCTAGGAAATAAGTCAAACAGATTCACTTATGGTCTGCGGATTAAGGGTGGGTGACAATAAAACTTCTTAAAAGAGATGATCCAGGACTTGAAGCAGGCACAGAGTTGGATGGCCTAGGTGTGGATGTGGGAAGTCGGGGATGAGGCACTGGGGCTCTGTGGGCTGTGTGGGAGAGGGTGAACTTACTTAGTAATGCTGCACCTCCAAAGATTGGCTTGGCAATGAACTAAAAGGTGGAAATAAGTTGAAGCAGTCAGACCAATGTATTAATATTAAGACGCTCTCTGGATCTGGGGTTTGGAGTGAAGAATTTAAGCAGTGCCTTTTGAATCCACTAGGTGTCGCCACCAAGATTACGTCTCACTATGGAAGAGGCCTGGGACCCAGAGTGTTGAATCTATCATATGGTCTATTCCCAGGCATGAGAAATTTGACTAGAATATCCCAAATCTTTCATTCTCTGCCTTTCTACTGGGTCTTTCCCATTACACATTTAAACCTTCTCAATTCTTGTCAAACCGCCCCCCCTGCCTTTTTTTTAGTTTGGCTGCGCCATGTGGCATGTGAGATCTTAGTTCCCCTACCAGGCACACATTTCACATGCTAGCAAAGTAATGCTCAAAATTCTCCAAGCCAGGCTTCAGCAGTATGTGAACCAAGAACTTCCAGATGTTCATGCTGGATTTAGAAAAGGCAGAGGAACCAGAGGTCAAATTGCCAACATTCACTGGATCATCGAAAAAGCAAGAGAATTCCAGAAAAACATCTACTTCTGCCTCATTGACTACACTAAAGCCTTGACTGTGTGGATCATAACAAACTGTGAAAAGTTCTTAAAGAGATGGGAATACCAGACCACCTTACCTGCCTCCTGAGAAATCTGTATGTAGGTCCAGAAGCAACAGTTAGAAACCGACATGGAACAATGGACTGGTTCAAAACTGGGAAAGGAGTACGTCAAGGAGGTATATTGTCACCCTGCTTATTTAACTTATATACAGAGTACATCATGTGAAATTCCAGGCTGGATGAAGCACAAGCTGAAATCAAGATTGCCAGGAGAAATATCAATATTCTTAGATATGCAGATGACACCACACTTATGGAAGAAAGTGAAGAAGAACTAAAGAGCCTCTTGACGAAAGTGAAAGGTGAGAGTGAAAAAGCTGACTTAAAACTCAACATTCAGAAAACTAAGGTCATGGCATCCAGTTCCATCACTTCATGGCAAATAGAAGGGGAAACAATGGAAACAGTGACAGACTATTTTCTTGGGTGCCAAGATCACTGCAGATGGTGACTGCAGCCATGAAATTGAAAGACCCTGGCTCCTTGGAAGAAAAGTTATGACAAACCTAG